CAAAGGTCAACACCTTTAAAAGTGACAAATAATTTTAGGAGGAAATTCAGCCAAACATTAAGTTACAGAAATCTCCTATAAAGGGCATAGGAAAAGATGGAATGCTATCCAACTTATGAAGCTAGTGTAATTCTGATCCCCAAACTAACCTGTTGGCCAATACAAAATGTAAACAAACTGAATCCAATAGTGCTTTAAAAGAAAACTACATCATAAGCACACAGGGTTGGTCCCACAAATTTAAGATGGTTTAATATTAGAAAAGCCACCGATTTAACTCACAAAAAAAACAACTTAAAAAAAAAAAAACATAGTAACATCCTAACAGAAATTTAAAAAGTATTTATGATAAAAACAACTCTTAGCAAACTAGGAATAGAAAGGAACTTCTTAACCTGACAAAGGCTATCCGTTATACAGTGTTAAATAACATGTTAACGGTACAATATTAGGAGCATTCTTAGTTGGTAAACACTTACAGAAGAATAATTGTTCCATATGGGCAGGGCTTTAGTTTTGTTTACCCTGTATCCCTAGTGCCCAGAAAAATGCCTTGTGTACAGTAAAAACTCAATATTAGCTGCAGATCAATTCATTGTTGAAACAGCCATCTTTAGCATGTGTATGCAGATAATTATATGTAAGAAAAAAAAAGTTGGCAGAAAAAAAGAAGGCAAGAGACCACGTAGTCACAGAGCACAATGGAGCTGCTGTGGCTCTAACGGCTTTCTACTTTCTAGTATTAGTTCCCACGTAAGAGTCCTCTGTAATTTTTCATGACCAGTTCTCCCCGTCCATTCTTTTTAACTAGCTTTTTCATTTGCAACCATGATTCTCAAGGCATAGCAGGAGAAAAATTTGTCTTCATTATAAATACTAATAGTAGCATTGTATATCAATATATAAGTTCTGGGTTGTAGGCTTCAAAAACAATCCCCAAACTACTGAGGTTTGATAGAACTAGTGTACATTTTGCATTGTTCAGTACTTACTATGATGCTTAAAATTGTGTTGACAAGTGTCATATCTGCTTTTTAAAAAGAGTACGTGTAACTCAATCTGCATATGTAATAATCAAATAAACATAGAACATACATTATGGATGTAATGTGCTTCATGACTCACTCATGGGGTACCTGAGTTGTAAGTGTGCTCCTGGTTCACGTAGATACAATGAAAGGGCTTCACATGTAGATATTTAAAACAGACTTATTAAAAAATAGTAACAATATGGTTTCCTCAATACAGTTATTCTCTTTTCTTTCCTATAACAAACCCATGACAGTGTATCTTCATGCTGTTGAAGAGCTATTATCTTTTTCCCCCAAAGTGGACTTTGTTAGACTTTTAAATTATATATACTGTTTAATACTTTTCCCCACAAACATCCATTTAGCGTTTATTATGTGTCAAAAACTTTCAAAATTTTAAGATATAAAAATGAATATAGCTATGATCCCCCCTTTCAAAAGCTCACAATTACTTTCATAGATTC